CTCAGGAGTAAAGTCCTTGGGACCTTCATTTGCTGATGGGGCACAACTCAAAATGAAAAGAAGTAGCTGTAAGCACCCATTAATAATCAACATGGAATGTACGATTATTAAGAAAACTAGAAATTGTCAAAAATGAAATGGAATGCATAAACATCGATAGTGAGCTGAAATGGACTGATATTGGCCATTTTGAATCTGACAACCAAATGGTGTACTATGCCGGGAATGACAAATTGAAAAGGAATGGTGTTGCATTCATCATCAAAAAGAACATATCCATATCAGTCATGATGTACAACACTGTCCGTGACAGGATAATATCCATGCGCCTACAGGGAAGACCAGTTAATAGTGTTATTCAAATTTACACACCAACCCCTAAAGCCCGTGAGGATGAAATAGAAGAATTCTGCCAACTTTTTCAATCTGAAATTGATCAAACATGCTATCAAGATTTATTGGCAATCACTGGTGATTGGAATGCAAAGGGTAGGAGCAAAGAGGAAGGATCTGTAGCTGGAAAATGTGGCCTTGGTGATAGAAATGATGCTGGAGGTCACATGCTAGAATTCTGCAAATTCAGTGATTTGTTCATTTAAAATACTTTGTTTAGACAGCATAAAAGACGATTCTACACATGGACCTCATCAGATGGCATACACAGAAATCAAATTGACTACATCTGTGGAAAGAGAAGATGGAAAAGCTCTATATCATCAGTCAAAAAAAGACCAGGGGCAGATTGTGGAACAGACCATCAATGGTTTATCTGCAAATTCAAAACTGAAGCTGAAGAAAATTAAAACAAGTCAATGAAAGCCAAAATATGACCTTGAATATATCCTACCTGAATTTAGAGATCATCTGAAGAACAGATTTGATATATTAGATACTGAAGACCAAAGACCGGAAGAGTTGTAGTTTGACATCAAGAACATCATACAGGAAGAAAGCAACATGTCATTAAGAGACGCTGAAACTTGTTAGCATAGAGATGCTAAAGCAAATGGAAGAAATGAAGAGGTACAAGAGCTGAACAGAAAATTTCAAAGGTCAGCTCAAGACAAAATCAAATATTACAATGAAATGTGCAAAGATCTGGAATCAGAAAACCAAAAGGGAAGAACATTCTCAGTATTTCTCAAGCTGGGGGAACTGAATAGAAAATTCAAGCCTCGACTTTTGTTATTGAAGGATTCTCTGGGAAAATTATTGAATGATGCAGAAAGCATTAAAAGAATATGGAAGGAATACACACAGTCACTGTACCAAAAGGAAATGTCGATGTTCAACCGTTTCAAGAGGTAGCATGTGATTTAAGAGCCAACTATACTGGAGGAAGTTGAATTAAAGGAATTGGCAAAGAACAAGGCACCAGGAATTGATGTAATACAAATTGAAATCTCTCAAGAAAGTGAGGTGGCACTCATCTGTGCCAGGAAATTTGGAAGGCACCTATCTGGCTAACTGGTTGGAAGAGATCTATATTTGTGCCCATTCCAAAGTGAAGTGACTCAATGGAATGCAGAATTCATTGGGCAATATCTTTGATACTGCATGCGAGTAAAGTTTTACTAAAGGTAACACAGAAACGGCTGCAAGAATACGTTGACAGAGAACTTCCAGAGGTTCAAGCCGTATTCAGAAGAGGATGTGGAATGAGAGATATCATTCCTGTTTTGCGAAGGATCTTGGCTGAAAGCAGAGAATACCAGAAAGATATTTACCTGTGCTTTATTGACTATGAAAAGGCCTTCGATTGTGTGGATCATGATAAGCTATGGACAACATTGCGAAGTATGAGTATTCCAGAACACTAATTGTGTTCATGAGGAACCTGTACATAGACCAAGAGACAGTTGTTTGAACAGAACATGGGAACACTGAATTGTTTAAAATTTGGAAAGGTGTGTGACAGGATTTTATTCTTTCACCATACTTAATTCATCCTGTATGTTGAGCAAATCATCCGAGAAGCTGGGTTAGATGACAAATAAAATGTTAACATCAGGATTGGAGAAAGACTCATTAACAACCTGTGATATGGAGATGTACAACCTTGCTTGCTTAAAGTGAAGAGGACTTAAAATATTTACTGATGAAGATCAATCAAAGACCATAGCTTTCGGTATGGATTGCATCTCAATGTAAAGAAAACAAAAATCCTCACCACTGGACCAATGATCAACATTCTTATCAATGGAGAAAAGATTAAAGTTGTCAAAGACTCCATTTTTCTTGGATCAACCAACACCACTCATGGAAGCAGCAGTCAAGAAATTAAATGATGTATTGCATTAGGCAAATCTGCACAAGACATTTTTAAAGTATTGAAGAGCCAAGATGTCAGGTTGAGGACTAAGGTACGCCTGACCCAAGCCATAGTATTTCAACAACCTTATCTGCAAATGAAAGTTGGACAGTGAATAAGGAAGACTATAGAAGAATTGATGCTTTTGAGTTACGGTGTTGGAGGAGAGAATATTGAAAGTGCCACGGGCTGTCACAGAACAAATAGATCTGTGTTGGAAGAAGCACAGCCAATGTGCTCCTTGGAGGCCAAGATGGCCAAACTTTGTCTCTCATACTTTGGATGTATTGATTGTCAGGAGGGATATATTGTCACTGGAGAAGGGATATCATGCTTGTTTAAGGTGGACGATCAGAGAAAAAGAGGAAGACCTGCAGCGAGATGCATTGGCATCAGTGGGCTCAAGCGTGGCAAGGATTGTGAAGTTGGCCCAGAATCAGGCAGTGTTTCATTCTGTTGTGCAAAGGGTTGCTAATGAGTTGGTCCTGACTCGATGGCACCTAACAACAACATTTTTATTAAATGCCATTGAATCAATTTTGACTCCTAGTCAAAGTATACATTTTTCCTATAAATGTTCTGATTTGTCTACCTTACTCTTAGGTAAATAGCCCTAGTGGTATAGTTGAATCGCTAATCGCAAGGTTAGTAGTTCAAGTCCACCAGCCACTCTGCAGGAGAAAGTTGAGGCTTTCTGCTCCCGTAAAGATTTACAGCCTGAGAAACACGGTTCAGGGTTGATATGAATTGGAAACAACTCAATGGCATACCACCACCACCACTCTTAGATATTTTTGATAGTTTTTCATTTAGTTCATTTTGTTTTTCTGGATGTGCAGTTGTATGTAACATCTATGTATAAAGACCGTGTAGCCATTTCTCATTTACATATTGATATCTGTCATTGTTCTTTGGACTAATCCCATTGGCTTCAGTTCCTATGTAATGTTAGCTTGCTCCTTTGCTCTGTTAGTTACTGCCTTCTCTCCTTTCTTTCTACCCCCTGCCTGGCCTACAACTCTAGTCTCTCCTCTCCTGAATATTTCAGTAACTTGCTAGCTGGTTCCCCTACTTCTCCCTTGCTTCCGTCCAATCTATTCTCCACTAAAGCCATTGTGATTTTTTTTTTTAATGGAAAAATTTCACTGATTATTGATAGCTTCTTGTAAGCAACACCAGGCATTGTTTTAAATGCTCTACTTTTACTCTTCTTTATCCTGAAAAGTTGGTGTTTTTAGTCTTTTTTATAAGTGAAGAAAACAATATTTACAAAGGCTCTTTAAATTAACTTCCTCAAGCAACATAATTAATAAGCAACAAACTAAAATCTACCTCAATCTTTCTGTTTTAAAGTCCATGTTCTCAAACTGTTTGTTTGTTTGTTTTTAATAAAGTTCTTTCTTTCTTATTTTTTATGTGATTTTTATGTCTTTCTAAGTTGCACAGAATGGTCTAAGTTGTACTTTATTAACTATTATTTTGTTCCTTCATTCACTTCCTATTATACTTTTGGATAATTTCCTTGTTATTCACTTGCTTGGTTTTTGTGTTACTCAGTTTGCTAGGCCTTGTTCCAGTTGAAGTTTTTAATGCATGAATCCTTTTTCTGGTGTGAAACGATAAGGCAATAGCCCTAAGAATAAAAATTCTGTTTAAATGGAACACAAAGAAACTTCTTAAAGGTATAACAACTATATGTATGTATTTGGCACTTAGGGGTCAGATTAGCACTTTATCCTAAAAAATGTTTATGTAATACTTTTAATATAGAATGTTCTGTATAGTAAAATAAATGGATTGGTGTTTGGATAAAAGATAAAAATCCATACTTGCTGTTAAAGGACAAGTTTGGTTCATCATAGTTTAGAGCATCAAATACTAGAAGATCTGTTCTCTAGTCCAAATGAGTCTTAGTTGTAAACTGGAACAATCGGATACTTAATCTGGGCATTATTTTTTCATCCATTAAAGGAAACGATTATATATATACAATTTAGGGTTTTAGCGAAGATCACGTGAGTCTTTCTGTGAAAGAGTTCTCAATAACAATTGAAGTACACTAATGGTAGTGATGTTTTTCAGTGGCAGGTTATTAGTTCAACGTTTTCAAACTTTTAATTAGTTACAGAAACAGTCTAATTTTTGTTCTTATTTCAGATGACCAGTAGACACCTGAGTCAGCATGACCTGGAATCCCAGATGAGAGGGCTTATCTACACAGACTCAGACCTCGTTGTCACCCCAATTATTGACAATCCAAAGGTGCGGAGAGATAACCTTAACAACTGTAGGCTGAGATCTGGATGTTACTGAGGCCTGAACTCTGTGATCGTCTCATTCAAAATATTTTCTGCTTGGTTTTCTTTCTTGTTCCTTTTTGCTGTCAACTTCTTGTTCATTTATATTCACGTTTTCACCTCCCACCCTGTCTGTCACCCTCTCCTCTTCTTGCCTCTACTTCCACTTTTGGGGAATGGTGAATTCTTTCTGATGTGTTGGCTCTGCCTCCATGGCAAAAATACTACCAGGAAACATTTAAAAAAGACTGTATTCGAGGTTTTAGAGAAGTTAAGACAGGAAAGTAAGAGCGAAATTTTTTTTACTAGAAATCCCAGTGTGAAGTATTCTCAATATTTCTTATATGAACTCTTGGCTCCAGTTGCATAGTTTTTGCCAATAAAATGTGCACTTTCCTGTTCATGCTGTTCCAGCTTCGTAAAGTGGAATCTTTTCTAATTGCATTAAGTCCTAGCCATCCTTCAAGACCCCATCCTGCCATCCACTTCTCCCATAAACCCTGCACTGACCACATCAGCCTAAACCAGGCCGTCATCTCTCTGGCCATGACCTCATGATACAAAAGATCATGCCTTTTGTATCTTTGTGTCCCCCTTAGTCCTTAGCACACTGCCTCACCATGGTGGATACTCAGTAAATGGTTGTTGAATCACTAAAATTTCCACCTAGAAGTAAATGAGTTTAAGCATAAGCTTAAGCTTAATGTTTCCCATGAAGATTTAGTTCAGTACAACTTACAGTTGGAATGATTCTTTTTTAAAAAATCATTACCTGTATTTGTGTATTCAAATCTGAAAAGGCATTGTTGAGTTCTTTTTCAGTTGTTGACTAATTTTGTTTTTATAGTATTCTTTTCATTTCATTTTAGTAAATACTTTTTGCGGATCTCATATGCATTTGGCATGGCACTGTAGTCACAAGGTTGGTGGTTCAAACCCATCAGCCACTCCTCAGAAACCCTATAGAGGGTTAGTATGAGTTGAAACTGACTTGATGCCACTTAACAACAACAATTGGAGATGCAAAGATTTATGAGGCATAATCCCAACCGTCATAGATTATAATCTGGTAGAAGAGATAGGTATCTCTCTCAAAGAAAAGTTTTGTTTTTTTTTCTTTCTCATTTACAGATAATGAAGCAACCACCAATTAAATTTGATTCCAAAATACTACATCTGCCAGCATATTCAGGTAGGATCATAAAGGGTTTATCAAATAGTTAGACTCTTTGTATAGGTACACATATGAAATGTATTAGCAAATGGAATAATATATGAATAGGAAAAGTCGTCTTTCTGCCATTTGGCTGTATTTTTGCCAGTGTTATATCAACTGTAATCTTGGCTGAAAGCAGAGAATAGCAGAAAGGTGTTTATCTGTGCTTTATAGACTATGCAAAGGCTTTTGATTATGTGGATCATGACAAGCTATGGACAACATTGGGGAGGATGAGTATTCCGGAACACTTAATTGTGCACATGAGGAACCTGTACATAGACCACGAGGCAGTTGTTTAACCAGATCAAAGGAACACCGAATGGCTTAAAATTAGGAAAGGTGTGTGCCAGGGTTGTATTCTTTCACCATATTCATTGAATCTGTGTGCTAAGCACATAATCTGAGAAGCCGGATTATATGAAGAAAAGTTTAGAGTAAGTGATGCATTTGAGTTATGGTGTTGGAAGAGAATATTGAAAGTACCATGGACTGTCAAAAGAACGAAAAAAAAAATGTGTAGGAAGAAGTACAACCAGATTTTTCCTTGGAAGCCACAGTGGAGAGACTTCCTGTCTCTGACTTTGGGCATATTGTCAGGAGGGCCCAGGGTGGTTTGTATAGGGATTTGAAAGTAGGGATTCTAGATGATTGAACCATCATAACATAACCTGGTTTTGTTTATCAGTAGTTTCATTGGAACCTTTTAAGCAACTGTAGAATCTTTGAATTTTCTAGTGTATTATAAATTAGTCACTTTATTTATACAAGAGTTATTTTGTTTTCTTATAATACATTTTTATTTGATGTTTCATTTTATTGCATTCTAGGTTACAGGATAATTCTTCAATAGACACATGTCTTCGCTTTTTTTCAGCACAGTTTTACTTTGAAGTCGTTTAAACATTTCCTTGGGTAGAGTAAGCGATGAGTATAGAGGTTTAAACATCACCATGGGTAGAAAAAGAGATGAGAGTAGAAAGATAAGTAAAACTGATATCGTCTTTGGAGTGTTTTTGGTTTTGACACCGAAGACTCTTTGTTCTTACCCTACCTATTGAAATTCTGCACTCCATTTTATGTCCCTTTGTAATGTCTTCAACAATCCTTTTCACATAATATCTGTCTATTGTTTTCTTGCCTCTGCAGTGGATAAATTAGTATTTCTGAAAGACCAGGATTGGCATGACTTTTTGCAACAAGTGTGCTCACAGATCGACTCCATTGAGAAGAGTACTGGAGCCTCCCGAGCCAAGCTCAACCTCCTTTGCTATTTGTGCACGGTGGCTGGTCACAAGGAGGTGGCCACCAAGCTCCTCCACTCCCCGCTGGTAGGTCATCAGGTTGTTAAGTGAAGACTTTTCAGGATCCCTGAAAACATGCCTATGTCCCCAACATTTATGTTCCTTTAGTGATCAAGACAAGTTTTAAAATAGTAACTTGATTTAAATGCGTAAAAAATAGAGTTTTATCAAGATTGCATGTTTACAAGAATTATTTTCTTTTTAATCCTTATGTAGGTGTAAAAGCAATTGAGTAGAAAGTGGTGTCGGGATTTCCCCCCAGTCCCCTGTAATACTCAGCTTTGCATTTTACATTAACTTGTCATAAATGTAAGATATATTCCATATCTGGAATTCTAAGAGACTTTTTTCATCAGCTACTGGAATGAGCTGCCCATGTGAAGTGGGGCTCTGTAACTGGACCAACTTTGTAAGGCCAGCATTTTGATACGACACTTGAAAAGCCGGGGTGACACCTTTTTGTCCTTTTGCCTTGGCAATGTTGCCACTTGAACTGTCTTGGCTCATTGGTAAAGTCATGGGAACTTGGCTGTTTTTAACGTCATCCTCAGAAAAGAGTTACTACAGTGGTTTGAAGGCATTTTTTTTTTAAATAGTGGGCCCTCACTTGGGAACTGTATTGATAAACTTTTAATGTACTTAATTCCAGGAGAGTATGAAAGTTCCTTTTTTGTTAGTTGTGTGTCTGTGGATTGGGGTGCATTTGGGAATATAAATGGGAAAGAGAAACTGAAAGCATTGTTCTTAGGTTCTAGTTTTATCTTACTCTTCTATTCAGTGCTTTTATTAAATTGTGAAGGTTTACAGAGCTGATCGGTTTTCACTTAGCACTTTTTGCATCTTTATAACTAATTATCTCCTTGTTGCAGGGTTGACATTTTAGTTTTGCAAAGATCTGCTTTGTTTATTTAGTGGTCATTCTTTGTCGTTCCATGAATGAAACATACATTTTATTTTTTTATTTCAGTTCCAATTGCTAATCCAGCATTTGCGAATAGCTTCAAACTGGGACATGTAAGTAACATTTTTATTAAAAAAAAAAATCATCTTCATGATTTTATTAAGTACTGCTACTTATCAAAAGCAGATTTCTGAATATCATAAGGTATTTCTGAATATCCTAAGTAGACTGCTACATAAGCAGTTTTTCTAGGAAATCTCATTTGTAGATTTAAAAGTAGTCTTCATCCTAGTATTACAAACACAATTCTGAGATCATACTAAACTAACTATGAGCACTGTTGACTTGTCCCTCTTTGACTCTTCTTTATCAGATACTATAACCCTGATCTCTGTGTTTTCATCTGTGGTTGACATTGTTGTACATCCTTAGGAGTTTTTCATTATTTCCTGTATCTTTCCCACATGTAGAACTTAGCTTTCTTGTAACGTTATTTAAACGTCTCCTGATGAAAGGAAGTGTGCTTGTTTTTTTGGAAGTAGCATAGTATGGTGAAAAGCCCATTAGATATGATGTTAGAAGGCTGTGGGCTCCAGTTGCCAATAAAACCTGGTCTTATGATTTCCTTTTTCTGAGTTTCAGCTTCTGGGGAATCTGAGATGCTGAAAAGTCAGAGGTTCCAGATTCAGAAAAACGTAACTATGGATCATAGCTTGGTCCCCTGGGCAAGTGACTTTTGTTGTAGAGTTTCAATTTTCTCATCTGTAAAATGGGGATAGCAGAGTTTTTGGTTATCATTAAACTTTGGTGAGATAAGTATATGAAATGCCTTATGTCTATTTTTTTTTAATGTTTAATTGTGAATTATGTGATAGTTTACATGGGAGAACATTAGTTTTACAGTCATCCTATCATATATTGTTTCATTGCCATGGTTACAATCCCCTCCATGCATCATCCACCAACCAAAGGGTATACCCTACAAGCCTACCCCTTGGTCATCAGCACACAGCCACTCTCCCTCTCTGAGTCTGAAGTCCTCAGCTGTTCCATCTCTCCATGTCATTGTCTCTGCCTTGGTGTCTATTTCTTAGTGGGCACTTGGTATTCATTGCAAGATTGGAAGTTGTAGTTGTCATCAGTCCTGCTTATTCCATCAATCCCAGGAGAAGCACCTGAAAACATGCAGGCACAGCTCTGTGAAGTAAGGTAGCGGTATGACAGTGGTCACTCTCCCATGTCTACAAAAGATGGGGGAGACAGTAAGTGAGCACAAAACACTTTTGTGAGTAATTATTACTGTAATTGTTCTTAAGTTTCTTTTGATGTTATGCTACTCGACTGCAGTACTTTACAAAATAGGATGTTAAAACAATGTTTGAGCGTTTAATACTTTCTAGGAGGTTTAAGGCATGCTCAGCAAAAAGAACCCAGACAGCCTCCACTTTAGTGAGCATTTACATGGTATCCTTGAATGGAGTGTCCCCCTGATGATTTGTAAAGGTAGATGTTCTTAATCCTTTCCAAATACTGTTTTTTTAAAACATTTAAAAAAAGTTTTTGTTGTGAATTGAATGATAGTTTACATGGGAGAGCATTGGTCTTATATCATTACTTACAATCTCCTCTGCGTATCATCATTCGAAAGTATTTACTACTTTCCCTTTGTTTTTGTTTTTGGGTGAGGGGGCTCAGGAATGTATAATAATTTAAACATGCAAAGGGCACATTCTGCAAGCCTGCCTCCTGGCCACCAGCATTCAGTCTTTCTCTTTCCATGAGTTTAGAGTCCTCAGATGCTCTCTCTCTGTCCATGTCCTCATCTCTGCCTCCATCTCTGGTATTGCTGCCTCTCTGGATAGGGTTCTGCATTTGCTCATGCTCTTATCCTGTGATGGTACTAGGGTCCTCTGTTTCTGGACTGTAAGATTAACTACTCATACGTTTTTGTTAACAAAACTTTTACCTTTACAGTTGTGACAGTCACAACTAGTCATGATAACAATTACTCACTACTGAATCATAAGAACCTTATCCCCATCTCTTTTTACCAGACCCATCTAGACAAGATAAAAACTATTCAGTGGGGACTGTATCGCCCCACACACACTTAAATTCAACTCCCTCTTGAGACCTTGTAAGCCAGTCACTTCGAGCCTTTATCTCCCCCTCATATTAGGTAGCTAATGTCTAAGTTGCCCGTCCCTATCTACCCTGTGTATAGAGGGGATGGCATTGATACTTGATGTAAAGACTCCTCCCCTCTCTGTTGGTATTTTGAGCTGCTACCTCCATGAGTAGAGGTCAAGTTCATCAAATTGTAGCAATTTACCCTCATTTCCTTTATCAAAAAAAAATATTTTTTGTAATCTTACTCTAGTAGAGTTCTGATTATCAAACCATAGGCTAGGTCAGATGGGTACTATCTGCAAGTTTGGGTGTTCTTGTGAGTCTCCCCTCAATGACTTTATTCTTTCAAGTACATAAAACATCTCAAACTCTGCAGAAAGACAGTGCAAAGTAGAACATTACTCAATGTGCCCCCTACCTGGAAATGACTAGTTAACAATGAGTGACCTGATTTTAAACATCTCTGTATTCAAGAGAGATACATAGAAATACTTTGAAACATAGTTTATAGTGTGCCTGTTACTTTAGAATGAAAATTGCACTTACTCCTCATTTATCCAGAGATAACTTTGTTTCCAAAGATCAGGTTGTTAGTGTGAAAATTAGTTATACAAGAATGGAGGATGATGGCATCATTACAATACTGCCAAACCATTGAGAATCATGGTATATTTTTATCACCCAACAAAGAACCCTTGTACCTATTGTTGTTGTGAAGTGCCGTTGAGTCAATTCCGACCCATTGCGACCCTGTATAGGGTTTCTGAGGAGCAGCTGGTGAGCTTGAACTGCCGACCTTGCCATTCAAACGGCTTTGCAGTCTGGCACATTAACCCACAGCGCCACACCAGGACTCCCCTCTCTGAGACACTGATGACCACTAATCTACTCTCTGTCTAGAAATTTGCCTTCTTTGAATATTATATACAAATAGAATAATAATAATAGTGCATTATTATATAATTATATTAAAAAATATTGTTTTTTTATTTTTTTATTCAGCATCATGTTTTCAAAGATCATCCATTTTGTAGCATTAATCAGTATTTCATATTCCTTTTATGGGTGAATAATATTCCATGATGTAGATATAGCAGATAGCCCTGGAGTGGCGCTGTCGGTTAATGCACTGGGCTGCAAAGTTGATTTGAACTGCAAGGTTAGCAGTTCAAGCTCATCAGCCACTCCTCGGAAACACTATATGGTTCACTCTAGGTTGGAGCCGACTCAACGGCACTTAACAGCAACAATTTTGTTTTTCTATTTTGGTGGACATTTTGAATTGTTTCCATATTTTAGCTATTGTGAATAATGATTCTGTAAACATTCATGTATAAGATTTTGTGTGAACATATATTTTCACTTCTCTTGCACATATATGTACATATATGTTGAACTTGTTAAGTGCTGTTGAGTTGGTTCCAACTCATAGCAACCCTGTAAAGGGTTTCTGAGGAGTGACTTAAACAGCCAACCTTGTGGTTCAAAGTGATTTTACAGTTCAGTACGTTAACCTGCAGTGTGACACCAGGACTCCATATATATATATATATATATCCACACACACACACATATATACATTAATATACACACACACACATATGTGTACATGTGTGTCTATAGAATTTCTGGGTCATGTGGTAACCCTGTGTTTAACCTTTTGATGAAGTGCCAAATCCTCACTATCACTTTCATTGCTAGTCTTTGACTTTATCTCTAAAGTTTCTAGTTTGATATTTAGCCATGCTCATTTTACTATTGAAGATCTCTAGTTAATTATTTTTATTTCAGCAGCCATGTTTAAAACATTTTTTTTTTCCATATTATAGTCCTCTGAAGGGTCTTATTTCTTAGATTCTTACATTTGGTTCTCTTAATAACGTTTTGAATTTGAGGATAAATATTAAAATTATAAAAATTCTATTTGGGATGGAATTTAGGCTTAAATTTGGCTAATAGTTAAAGTTGAACATGAAGAAGATAAAAATTCAAATCTCTTTAATCTGTGGGTCCTTTCTTTTTCATCCAGGCCCTATTCTTTAATGTTGTTCCCTCAAATATATGGTGTTCTTTGTGAATTTATTTTTATGAATAGTTTATTACAATGATCAGTATGTTGTTGTTAAGTGCTGTTGAGTCGGTTCCAACCCATAGCGACCCTGGACAGGGTTTCTGAGGCTGTAAATCTTTACAGGAGCAGAAAGCCTCATCTTTCTCCTGTGCAACAGCTGGCAGTTTCAAACTGCTGAACTTAAGGTTCGCAGCCCGATTCATAACCGCTATGCTACCAGAGATAGTTTTCCTCTGTGCTTGTGTAAGAAGGTGTGTTTCTCTTACAACCCCTGCTTAAAAGGAAAGGCTTAGCATCCAAATGGATGAGGCCTATTGACCTACTGACTGATGAAGAGCACTCAGGTGGTGTTAAGAGAAAGTATGGCACAGTGGATCAGCACTGTGCTGTGAACCACAAGGCCAGCAGTTCAAACCCACCAGCTGTTCCTTGGAAACCCTAAACAGGGTTGCTACGAGTTGAAACTGACTTGACAGCACTTAACAACAACAACAACAACAACAACAAGGCAGACTGAAGGCCTCTACAATGGCTGGGATGGGTTTTCTTTGGGCTAGATAAGCTTTCTGTATTGAGCTCCTTTCTTCCTCCAGTATAGTTGACAACTATACTGATGTAGAGGGCTAGTGTCTGACTCCCACTGCCACACTTGTAGTCCAGCTCCAAGGGAGATTGCTCGCTGTGGGAATAATTGTCCATTTTTATCTTGGAGTCAGGGCTTATAGAGGTTGTTCCTTGTACCAGGAAGGGAGATGGGAAGGAGACAGGACCTAAGTGACTCTCCTGTTCCTGTGCAATCCTTGAATCACTAGCCCTGGTAATTGTCCTGTGGTTTAACCTTACTTTCTGTTGTGGTGTATTTCAACTGGGGGCTTACCTCTGCTTCTTTAGTATTTCTTCTGTTCCTCTCAGTCAGTCAATTCTTCATCTATTTATATCATCTAGGGTTTCTTCAGACTCTCTTTTTGACTTTTAACCATTTTTGTTTCCATTTCTCATTTAATTAAACAACTTTCTCTTCTGTTTTGGTAGACTTTTGAGCGATCAAAGCGATGGGTGGCAGTCTTTGGTTTGCTCTCATCAAGGAGAAGAACGTTTGATAAGTTTTGACATGTTGTGTACATGATTTTGACTTATTAAAGTTTTTATGTGTCAGGTATGAAAGTTAGAAGGATCTCTTTTTTTTGACTTATATTTGTCATTTATACTTTTATTACACCATAATAATGAGTTTTCTATAATTCTTACCTTTTGGAATCTCATGAATTTGTCATTATGGTGTAGTTTAAGAAATTTTTAAAAAGTATGCCATGAATAGAGTAAATAAATAATGTACTTATAACAGCAAACACATTCAGCATATATTAAATGTCAGATACTGTGGCAATTAATCTTTTTCCATAGATTATTTCTTTTGATTCTTACAACACCTTGATGGAAGAGATTGTTATTAATCCCACTGTACACGTGAAGTAACATGAAGACAGAATAGGCACCCCAGGGCCTCCAGTATGTAAGTGGTAGGGCCAAGACTGGGTCCAAAGTTTTCAGCACCACTCTACAGCTCTCCCTGACAAGTGTGGACACTGTTTACGTGGTGTACAGTTTGGTATAGACACCTGTTCTTTGACCTTAGGAGTTTTAGTACGGTTGCTATATGAGTATGTATGAGTATGAACTCCCTGTTGTCTTTTGCTCTGCTGGGGAGACAAGTAGATTGAAGTTTCCCACTACTCTCTGGCTTACTTTTCATGCTTAATTATTTGGTGTATTAAGATTTCAGCCTTATATTCTTTGTGACTGTCTTAGATACCTAGTGCTCCTATCACAGAAATACCATAGGTGGACGGCTGGAACAAACAGAAATCTCTTCTCTCGCAGTTCAGGAGGCTAGGAGTCCAAATTCACAGTGCTGGTTCTAGGGGAAGGCTTTTTCTCTTTGTTGTTGTCAAGTGAGTTCCGACTCACAGTGACCCTGTTTAGCTCTGGAGAAATGTCCTTGTCCCCTTTCAGCGTCTGTGGCCCTTCATTCCGTGGAGCTCTCCTTGGTGTGTCTTGGTATCAATCTTCCTCTGAATCTAGAAACTTCACAGTGCAGGGACTCCAGGTTCAAAGGGTGCGCTTCATTCCCGGCTCTTCTTTCTTGGTGGCAGTAGGGCCCTCTAAGTTCTGCTTGCTTGCTTTAATTTCTTTATATTCAAAAGAGATTGACTCAGGATACACTTAGTCTTGTAGATCCCATCTGGCCCCATTAACATAAATGTGAAGATTTCCAACATACAGTCTAATTAGGTCAGGGCTGATCACATCAGCTTGCATCATGGGATGCTTGCATCATATCTGATCTCATCCTAACGGCTAAACCACTAAGCATCCTGGCCCAGTCAGGTTGATACAAAACATTATTTAACTCTGACAGTGACTAAAGCTCATGTAAGGTTTTTAGCTGTGAATTCCACTGTGAGATTTACATTGGACATCCTGGTTTGATTTACGTTTACTTGCCTTGTGTAGCCCTATTTTTGCCTGCTCTTTTCCTACTGATGTGTTTAGCTAGTTTGTTTTTGATGTTGATATTATATTGCTGTTGATACTGTTTTCATCCCACAAACATTTATTGATGGCAGTTGTACACCAGGCACTGTCTAGGTGCTCACAGTCACGTGCAAGAGAAAGTCCCGCTCTCAGGGACTTTGAGCTGGAGGGAGAGACAGATAATAAACAAGTAAACAATTGGGCATGTAACTACAATTTTAGATCTGCTCTGGCCACCACAGTTGTAATTATTTACACTTAGAATTCATTCAATTTTATTCAAGTGAAATAAGATTAAATATTTCTTTCCTTAGCACACCAGTATACTCCAAGTGCTCAATAGTCAATGTGGCTAGTGTATGAAACTCTGCAGACAGGGACCATGTTTGTCATTGCACAAAGGCTTGATGGGCAGTGTTACTCTGGGTGATTCCTGGACATGAGGGTGATCCTGAGGCCGAGTGTAGTAGGCATGGGGACACGTGAAGTGGTGACATTTAAGCAGAAGACTGAATCAGGAGACGGAACCAGCCTTGTGAGAACATCCAGTGTACTTTATAGTTATATTTCGATTTTTGGCTAAAGCCTAAGGGTTACTATTGTTATTTTAAATATTTACCTAAAAACCCTTATAGTTGTCAACTATACTGTGACTTCTCTTGTTCTAGTAGAAACTATTTCTGGGCAGGTCAGAGAAAATAATTACCATGTTGTGTTACATTTTTAGTTGACTAATCTAGTAGCTGGGATTTAAGTTTGCAGATTAGAAAAATGATCCGGTGTGTAAGTATTTTCGGCTTATCTTTGAAAAGAGCGTTTTGTATGTGATATGTTTTAATTCATTAGTGAGTTTTGATAATAAGTGTTTGCTTTACAGTTGGGAAGCAACTTCTTAGAAGTTGTTGTTAGATGCCTTCGAATGGATTCTGACTCATATATGACAACAGTAGAACTGCCCCTGTGATTTCCTGATCTGCTAATCTTTATGGAAGCCGATGGCCACGTAGTTCTCCTACAGAGAAGCCGATGGATTAGAACCACCAATCTTTTGGTTAGCAGGCCAGCACTTAGACTGCTGTGCTACCAGGGATACTCTGCATCACCAGACCCTACCAAACCTTTCTCAAAAGTCATTTCTAGTATATAGCACTTTTAGTATTAGCAGAAACTAATTATACAAATGGCCAATTCTTCTTTAATCTGTGTATGTTAAGAGATTTAAGTGGCTAATTCAGGAAGTGGGGAAATCTGTATGTGAGAATTGTAACTACGTGAATATTTTCCTTGTGATACTTCTGAGTCTTGTTTGCTTCCCTCCCTGGTCCCTGCATGTGTTTGTTCTTAGTTACCTGAAAAACAGAGGGTCCCTGGCTAAATGTACACACTGATTAGGTCAGAGACCATGTGAGCACCAGTGATTAAATATGCAGTTCTCGTCAACTCACACATGCAATCATTTATTTTTTAAAATCTTATCACAACTATCTTTCTATATGAAACCACTTTTTCAAATTACAGTGAAATAATATTTAGTGACTTGCCAACTTTGTTTTCTGGTGGATACCAAAGGAATACTAGCATTTATTAAAATAGGAGAATATTTACAGAACTGATGCTTGTAAACATTTCTGTTACAGTGAAGATTATCAATATATGTCAAGTTATTTTGATAAACATTATTTCCTACTTATACAAAAACTCATTATTCTATGAACAAATAGAACAGAGGCCGGTACCCCGATGAATCTGTATTCAGAGACAAAGAGATGACCATTTCCCTCGTCCCTTTGGTTAATGCCGTTTAAACATTTCTGTTTTCCCCTTTCCCTGTTAAAGCACAGCTAGCTTAAATTTTGTCACCTACAAGAAGTCTGTGAAGGACATGGCTGCTCTTGTCCACTGTGCACATGAGGGAGAGTTTCTCTGGGCTGGATCCACCTTACCACAACTCCAGCGTCTGTCCGTTGGTTTTTCTGCGGTGGCTTACGTGTTTTTGTGATGCTGGAAGCTATGCCACCAATATTTTAAATACCAGCAGAGTCACCCATGGCGGACAGGTTTCAGTGTAGCTTCCAGACTAAGATAGCTTAGGAAAGACGGACATCAAGATGAGCAAGACCCTCACAAGATGGATTGACAAAGTGGGTAGCTACAACGCTGGGCTCAAATCTAGCATTGATTGTGAGAACAGGCAGGATTAGGCTGTGTTTTGTTCTTTTGGGCATAGAGTAGAGCCAACTTGATGTTTTTTGACAAAATTAACAGCATACATGGTGAGGGCATAGAGTATGCTTGTCCTTTTGTATCCATTTTTTATTTCATGTTCTGAGGTCCATGAATGTGTAATGTGGTTACCTGGGGATGGCGTTCTCCGTTCCTACCTCTTCTCTGCTCAAACTATTTTCTGTCCTTTTACAGACGGGCCAAGGTTGCAAGAGTGATTGGTTTACTGGCCTCCCACACAACTGAGCTCCAGGAAAATACACCTGTTGTCGAGGTACGTTTATTTCTTGCTGAAATGTTATAAATGGCAAAAAGACGGTTCTTAATATTGTATTTTAAAAGATTCTGTTTCCTTTGACCTTCACTGATTTTCCTTTGTGAATTGCAGTGATACTTATAAAACAATAACTTTAATAGATCTTTAGGCTTCAGTGCAAGCTCATTTACAGGAGAGTCTGTTGTATATGTGATATGGCAGAGTTAGGAGGCTTGTGGAACTCAAGTCATTATCATTTCAATTATTTTTTGGAAAATACTTATTTCATTACTAGTCTTCTTGTAGTCTACCAGCATTTTATTATAACTCAAGTACTTTTAGTTAAACTTAGCACAAATTCAATTTTATTTGGCTTTTTGCCTTGGATTTGTTTTCATCCTCACTAGTAGTCATTTATTTCTGACAAAAATCCCAGTACTTAGTGCCCATTCATTCATTATTTTCTAGTGTCACGCATTTCTTTCACATTCTGATACTAGAAAACTTTTTTTTATGAATTCAGTTAACTAGTAAGTTCAAACCCCACTAAGTGACTGCTCCTATTGTCTTGCCTTTTTGAGGATCCTTGAACACTTAACAAGTACTTTTCTTTCTTTTTGACTTTGTATTATGAGTGTGAGTGAAGGCTTACAGAGCAAATCATTTTTCTACTCATCAATTCATATACAATCCTCACAGTTATCCCCCATCCTCCCTGTGTTTCCCATTTCCATTCCTCCTTCTTTTCTAGCCTTGAATTTTGTCCTTGAGTAAATGCTTCCCTTTGATATCAAATGGTTGATTTTTCTAAGGTGTGCATAGCTCACTAATTTTATTATTCCCATTATAGACCTGTCTGTTGTTTTGCTGAAATTTGAACGCAGAGGGTGAGTTCAGTTCTAGGCCTAAAGGATGACTAAGGAGTCTGGGTAGTTCTGCCAGTCTCTGTCTGACCAGTAAGCCTGGTCTTATTTATGAGTTTGAATTTTGTTCCACATTTTTCTCCCACTGTATCCAAGACCTTCTAATGTGATCCCTTTCAAAGGCGTGGCCAGTAATAGCTGGGCACCATCTTGTGCTTCGAGACTCATGGTTGTGGAGACTGATGTTCATGTGGTCTGTTAGTACAGTGGGCTTAATTGTTTTAATCAGTTTTCTTTCCTTCAGACCAGGAGAAACCAATAGATGACCACTCATGAGCATTTAAGATTGCAGTCGCTACTCACCAAACTAGGATGTAGAACACTGTCTTTTATGGACTATATTATGCCAATTGACCTTGGAGTCCCCAGGACTATGACCCTGTGTCCCCAGGTTTAGTGACTCATTCCCTCAAGGTGTTTGGTTCCAACTCATAGTGAACCTGTGCACAACAGAATGAAACATTGCCCTGTCCTACACCATCTTCACAATTGTTGTTACTATTGAACCCATTGCTGCTCCCACTGTACCAGTTCATCTTGTTGGAAGGTTGTCCTATTTTTTGCTTACCCTCCACTTTACCAGGATGATGCCCTTCTCCAAGAACTGGCCCCTTCCTCCTGGTAATGTGTTTCAAATATGAGACACAAAATCTCAACAGGCTGGCTACTAATGAGCATTTTGACTCTACTTTGTCCAGCACAGATTTCTTCTCTCCATTTATCATGATGTTATTTATGGGTCCAGTGGTGAGGATTTGTGTTTTCTGTACACTGAGGTACAATCCATACAGAAAATTGTAGACATTGGTATTCGTCAATGAATATTTTAAGTCCTCTTCACTTCCAGCAAGTCATCAGTGGATGAGTCTTCGTCCAATCCCAATGCCATATTCTTCTTCATATAATCCAACCCCTAGGATTATATGCTCAGCATACAGATTAATACATATGATGTAAGGATGCAACCCTGGCACACACCTTTCCTGATGTTAAACCATTCAGTATCCTCTTATTCTATTTGAACGACTACCTCTGGTCTTGCAGGGTTGGCTTTGGAAAATCCCTTAGCTTCTGTTTATCCTGGAATGTTTTGAGTACACCATCATATTTGATTGACAGCTTTGCTGGGTAGACGATTCCTGGTTGTCAGGTTTTTTTTTCTTTCAGGGTTTTGTATATGTTTCCCCATTGCCTTCTTGCCTGAATGGTTTCTGTTGAGAGATCCGAGCTTAATCTGATTTGCTTGCCTTTGTATGTTCCACTTCTCTTTTCTCTAGCTGCTTTCAGGATTCTGTCTTTATCTTTGATTTTGGAGAGCTTGATTATTGTATGTCTTGGTGATTGTCTTTTAGGGTTGATCCTTTCTGGGGTTCATTGAGCTTCTTGAATGCTTATCTTTTCACTTTTTATCTCCTCTGTGGACTTGTGTGATTCTTCATGTTCCAGAATGCTGATCATTCTTTTTTTTAAATTAAATGTTTTTATTTTGCATTGAGTGAAAGTTTACAGGGCACATCATCAGCTTCACATTCAACCATTCATATAGCTTGTTTCATTACATTGATTATTATCCCTGCCATATATCATCAGTTTACAGTGTTTCTCTCTATCCTCTTTAGCTTTTTTTTTTGGATGGGGGGGAACTTGGCTTTTTGGAATTTACAGTCTTGGCTTTTAGGGAAGGTTTTTACATTTGTCTGTGGATATCCAGGGCTCATGTATGAGATTACTAACAAGCATTACTGAATAATCAGATGAGGGACAGTTTGCTATGTCTACTAGGTGGCTAGAGTCTGATCCTCAGAGCCTATGGTTTAGATGGTCAACAACGCTTGGGCCCACAGGGGCTTGACCTCCTGACCGGGTCTGTACTGTCTAATGCTGATCATTCTTAAGTTATTCTTCTTCATGTTGTCCAACATGAATCTTAGGCCTTCTTCAAATTTTTTAAATCCTTTTTTTCTGCTTGCTCTTCTGTCTTAGTAGTGTTGAGAGATTTATCTTCTAGCTCACTAGTTCTGGCTTCTATCTCTTCAATTCTACGCCTTTGCCCTTTCAGTGTATTGGCCATTTCTGATACTCTATTATTAATATTTTGGACCTCATTCTGTAGGTTTTGCATTGTTTCCAATGCTATATCTATTTTATTTGATTGTTCCTGTAGCATTTTCCTGACTTTTTCCTCAACTCCATTGTATAGTGTTTTGATACATTTTATAATCATTTTTCTGAATTCCTTCTCAGGCATTTCCAAAGCCTGTCCATCTTCCAGTATGGAGTGTAGGTCTACTTCCAGCTCATTTACTTCAGTCACTTTATCTTTTTTTTTTTTTTTTCTTAAATGTTTTATTGTGAATTATGTGATAGTTTACATGGGAGAACATTAGTTTTACATTCATTCTATTGTATATCATCTCATTGCTATGGCTACAATCCCCTCCATGCATCATCAACCAACCAAAGGGTATACCCTGCAATCCTTTCCCCATACCCCCCAGGTCTTCAGCATACAGTGGCTTTCCCTCTCTGGATCTAAAGTCTCCAGCTGCTCCATCGCTCCACATCATCATCTCTGCCTCCATTTCAGGCATCACTGCTTTTCTGGGTAGGGTCCTGCTCTCTGCTCTTCTCCCTTGATGGTCCTAGGTACCTCCGCTCCTAGACTGAAAAGTTAATCACTCCCTTCCTTGCTATAAAATGTCTACCCTTACATTTCCGACCCTCACAATCAGTCCTGATAACAATTATTCACTATTGTATCACAAGAGACCCATCTGCATTTCATTGTATAAGCCCCACCTAGACAGATTGACGACTACTCACTGGAGATTCTACCTTCCTCCAGGCCCTCTGGATCTAGGTTCCTTCTTGAAAGCTTGTAAGCCAGTCACTTTTTGCCTTTGTAGCCTCCCACCCCCCATTTTGGGTAGCCTCAGTCACTTTATCTTGTTTCTGGACATGTGCTGGTATGGTCATCAGATTCTGTTTTTTACTGCATATTCAGGAGCTATCTGTGGCCTTAATACTTAGATAGGTGTGTATTTTGGTATGCTTTATGCTTTCTGGTTGCCTCAGGACATCGGTTTCCCTTTTATCTCTTCTACCTGAGAAATTTCAAGATGCCACTGTTGATCGTTGAGACATAACTCAGGATTTAATTTTTGGCCTATTTCCTTTTTAGTCTGCCTGTCCTGCTCCACAGTCCCCATTCAGGCCTTTTTTGTATGTATAATGGAGCCCTCCAGGGGTGGGGGTGAGGTGTCCACTCACTCAGGCACCCCCTCTAGTCACTAGAATTGAGGTGCGCAGACAGTGAGAGACCAGTGAATAGATACCAAAAAAAAAGAGTGTCCACAACTTTATCTCCATGGTTCTGTCAGGCGTCAGTGGCTGCTCTGATTCTTCTCTTGCTTGATCTCACCCAAGATGGTTGCTCCAGGAGCAGCCTCGTGTCTTAAATTAGAAAGCAATGGATTTCTTGCTTCTGCTACAAATTCCCCTAGCTTTAAGCCTTCCAACCTTCTAAATATTCCTTAAAAAATCTGGTTCAGAGTTCTGGGACCATCCCCTGAGCCTGCTTGGTCGGTATTCTGTGTTGCTGCTGACAATGCTCCTCACTGCACTTCCACTGGATTCACCATCTTGTTTGTTCTCTACAAAGTCTTTAAACTATGCTATGGGTTCAGCTCTGGTAGCGTAGTGGTTACGAATCGGGCTGCGAACCTTAGGGTCAGCGGTTCGCGGGAGAAAGATGAGGCTTTCTACTCCCGTAAAGATTTACACCCTCGGAAACCCTATACAGGGTCGCTATGTGTCGGACCCGACTCGATGGCACTTAACAACAACAACAACAACAATGGGTTCTCCTCAGCACAGAATAGTGGAATTGCAAACCTCAGGAATTTTTTGAGGCTACCCTGTTGAATGTCATAATGAATATTCTGGAAAAATATTCCAAGCCTTTTTAGATAACTATTTTTATCCCATTTTCTTCTGAATTCTGAAAGTACCCATCCTATTTTTTACTGCATCTATTGAATCATTGTAATTCAATAGTCATATCGTACATCTCCAGGGGCTCTTTTCATGTTATAC